AACCAAAATCATAAGGCAAACATCTAATATCGCGCTCGACATGGTTCTCCCCACGCCCGGTGTGATTCATCTAGAGGCTTTCATTCCTAATCTTGCCCGGCACGACCAACCTCGTGCTCGACGTGATTGGACAATGGAGTTCCTTGATGAACATATGCCCGACGCCAAGAATTGTGCCTGACGTGAACTCAAACAGCAACCATTACAACTTTGAAAATTTTAACCAAAAACCTGAAAATCGACCAACTCAAACACATGCAATCCATGAAATGAAATACATTTACTTCATACAACTAAAAAACATGCTTTATTTCAACATGCAACCATCGAACGCATCAAAATCACCAAATTCCCAATTTTTCCCGAAACCCAAAAATTTGAAATTTCTCAAATCCAACCATGAATTCTTAGAATTCATACATCAATTTGAGTTTCTAAACTCACATACAATGAATCAATCTATAATCTAGCTTCCCTTACCTTAGAGAAGAAGAATCCAAACTCCAAGTAAGAGAAAGAAAAGAAGAAGGAGGTTCGTGCTTCTAACTAACAACCCACACTTCTACTCAGCATCTTCAACAACAACAACACCACAAGGAAGCTCAGAAAGTTTGAAATAAAAGAATAGGAAATGAGGAGAAAATGAGAGTGTGGATGGGAAGAAGGAAGAATAACTGCAGGTCCTACACATATAAATCTTTTCCTTTAATTAAGTCACCATTTAGAAAGGCAGTCTTTACATCTTTCTAGTCAAGCTCTAAATCATAATGAGCCACCAAAGCCAACACAATTCTTAAATATTCCTTCTTAGAAACTGGAAAGAAGGTCCCTTTATAGTCAACGCCATCCTTTTGAGTGAAATGTTTGGCAATGAATCTAACTTTATATTTTTCAATATTACCTTTCGAGTCATGTTTGGTCTTAAAGACCCATGTACAACCAACTCGTTTTGAACCTTCTGGCAATTCAACTAGATCCCACACTTCATTGTCATCCTTTCACATTCATGTTCAAGTGAATACACAACATAATCACTTGAAATAAGTAGCCTCTTTATCCTTTCAGATCTCTTTGGTGCTATTTCTGGTGCCTCTTCTATATCTTGTTTATTTGTGACTTGCACATTGTCTACTGGTTTATTACCAATATGTTCATTTTGCGAGTTTTGAATATGATCATGTTATCTCTAGGTGTTGTTTAACTATAATACAATTAAAGGAACAACATCTTGAGGATGGACTATAAGTGAAAAAGATTCACCAAGAGTCTTTACAATATCCACCATTTTGTGATTTCTCACTTCCACTAAACTTTCCATTCTCAATGAACCTAGCATTACCAAACTCAATTATCCTTATATTATGGTTAGGACAATAGAATTGTAACCTATGGACGTTTTATGATATCCAATGAAGAAACCACTAATGGTTCTTGCATCAAGCTTATTTTCATATGGATTATACACCTTTACTTCTGTTGGACAACCCCAAACATGGAGATGGATGTCTTAAACTGGGTATCCTTCTTGTCCATAATTCATAAGGGGTTTTAGGAACTATCTTAATAGGAAACCGTTGAGTAGATATGCAACAATCTTTAATGTGAGCACTCACAAAGATAAAGGTATAATACTATAATTTAGCATAGAACTAACCATGTCCATTAGGGTGCGCTAGCTTTTTCCTTTCAACCACACCATTCTGTTATAGTGTGCTAGGCATAGTATATTATGGACATATGCCTCTACTTTCAAGAAACTTAGTAAATAGACCTAGACATTGTTGACTTTCATTAAATTTTTTTTATAAAGTTCAACATCTCTATCAAACCTTATAACTTTCACTTTTTTTTATCTAATTTTCTTTCTACCTTATTAATGAACACCTTTAAGACATCCACTGATTCATACTTTTCATGTAGTAGATATAAATAACGGTAACGTACAAAGTCATTAATAAGTTTAATAAAATACTTTTCAACATCCCAAGATGGAACATCAAAAGGTCCACAAATATCAATGTGTATCAATCCTAGAATTTCATTACTTCTTGTAGCAGAATTGTTGTATATTTGTTTATTTTGCTTTCTTTTAATACAATCTAAACATATGTACCAATCACTAAAATCTAATTGAGGCAAAATTTCAATTTTCATTAACCTCATTATCCTTTCTTTAGAAATGTGATCTAATCTTTGATGCCACAAATAACAGAACTATCATCGTGAATATTATACTCGTTAATAATAACAAATTCAACATTAAACAAGGATTCCTTAAACTTTACATCAAGATTGAAACAATACAAACTATCTATTGAAGTATTAGATCCATAATAGTACATATCCTTAAACATAAAAATACATTATTTTCAATCTTGAAACTAAAACCTAATTGATCCAACTTTGCATCAAAAACTAAATTCCTAGCACATCCAGGTACATAGAGACATCCCTCCAAATCTACATGACACCCCATCGTGTAAAAGATTAATCTATATGTCCCAATGTCCTTTATTCTTGCCTTCATTCTATTTCCCATATAGAGAAACTTTTCAATTCCTCTCATGGTTTGGATTGAAAGGAATTCTTGCACAATATGTGACACATGAATAGTTGCTCCATAATCAAGCCACCAAGTATTATTAGGTACCCCAACAAGGTTTGATTCAAAATTTATAGATATATAAAATATACCTTTCTTTCAAACCTTTTCTTTCTTTTTGGCTAGTCCTTCTTAAAGTGACCATTTTTTTTACAAGAATGACACTTCTTTTCCTTATGGATTCCTCCATCTTTAACCTTTAATTAGACTTTGCCCTTATTCTCCTTATCCGGCTTATTTTTGCTAGTACTGGCTCCATCATAAGTCATGAAATGAATTGAGTTGTCCTTCATTTTCTTTAACCTCCTTCCCTCATGAATTAACATGACCTTAATTTCTTGAGAATTCCATTTTTCCTTAATAGTGTTATAGTTGAAATTGGTCAAATTCAATAGAAAGAGTTCAAAATAAATTGCACTAGAAATGACTCTTTCACTTTCATTCCCATGGAATTTAACTTTGTTGCCATATTAGTCATTTTTGTCACATGATCATGAATTGGTTGGGACCAATTAAACTTTTTGTTTGTTAGTTCACTTGATAGATTCCCCACAATTGACGGTTAGTAATGTCAAATTGTGAGTAAGCCTTAACAAATTCCATAAACTCCCTTGCATTATCTATTTTGAGCATAGATGGCTTCACATTTGCAATCATAGTCAATCTCATCAAGTTTAGTGCCAATCTATTTGACCATTCCCAAGCCTCATAGAGAGACTTGTTAACATCAGTACTAATCTCTATAATGATTGAAGAATTTTCATCCATTAATTACCAATGCTAAGTCTAACTCTATTATATTGAGTTGAAATTGGATCATTTCAAACCAATCAACATAGTTCATCCCATTAAACTTAATCATTAAATTACCCAAAGCAAACATATTGGTCATAGCTACATACATTTAAACAAACTCACATATTAATGTTGAGTAAAACTAATAAATTCAAACTACATCAACTTTAATCATGCATCTAATTTCACCTTTAGGTGATAAATAAATACATATTTACATGAATAATAATGTCAAATAAATATAGCTTAATGGACAATAAGTCATACTATTTTTGGCATACATGTTGTCTTTGAATATATAAACACTACAAGTATGAAAAAAAAAATCTTTAATATCATTATTATAAGTAATGAATCATCTTTGAATAATCTATGTATGCCTTATAATTAATAATTTTATACAATTCAAACATATTAATTACATAACATAATTATTTTAATCAATCATGTAACTTGAAATTATATATAAACCCATAAATTAAATCACTTTAATGATATTAACAAAACTAACTTTAATATATAATTCCAAAAACACTCCTTCATTAAAATATAATTTTACAATTATGTTTCAAATATTACACTGATGGCAAGAACCATATTCATACAAAAAAGTAAATACCATAACTTTTATTTGTTTTTTAAAGAGCAAACTCAATCTCCCAATTTCTATCGCGTTAGACAAAGAATTATGTGCATAGTAGGAGAATACAATTCTATCAACTCTAAGAATATATCAACGCAACTCAAGTACAGTAAAGCCAATTTTATGTGCACGTAATTAGGAACTATGCAATAAATTCGCTTTACTATACGCACAGTGGCAGATTTCATATTAAAACAATATCATTCAAGTCTATAGCAAATAAAGACATATAACTATCATAGAGTAAAAGAAGATATTTAATAAAGAAATATATTATCCCTATTCTTACTATGATGCCAATTGGTAATACATTTTATGGTCACATATAATTTTATTGCATTCATCTTTCAAGAAAATTATATTCTAAAAATCTTAGATAATTCTTGAGAGAGAAAAATAAAGAGGCTACTCTTTTCATAAATAATCAACTTAACTTCCCTAACCCTTTTTTTTTAAATTATTTTTTTAATATCTAAATTATCCTTAATTAAATGAAAAGAGAGATAATTAATTTTAATAACTTAAAAATAATTTTCAATGATTTTTAATATATTTTAAATCTAACAACTATCAAATTTTTTTTAATCTTTTTATTAAAAGCCATTTTTTAATTACATGAGTTGGAATAAATAATCTTATACATGAAAACCAAATATTAATTGTGCTAAAGAGACCAACTTGCTAAAGTACCATATTTGTTTTTTCCATAAAGCTTTTTAAATTTTGGTCAAGCTGAGTTTGTGTCCAAAATGGTGTTACGAGTCAGTTATGTCTTTAAACAGAAATAACGTTTATTGTCACTCAAAAAATTTCAAGGATTTTTCACTATTTCGTTTAGTTTATTTCTCCGTCGGTTTCTCCGTATTAGTTGATCGTAAATAAATTTGTCAAAAACCTGTGCAGTGCACGTTATAAATTCTAGTAGTTTGACAATTCACACAAATTTGTCTTATTGAACAGGGATGGATATGAATACGAGTTTATTAAAAAGATAGTTAAATTGGTATCTAGCAAGATTAACCGTGCTCCTTTGCATGTTGCGGATTACACGGTTGGACTTGAGTCTCGAGTGCTGGAAGTAAAGTTGCTTCTAAATGTTGGGTCTGATGACTGTGTCCACATGGTTGGAATCCATGGTATTGGTGGAATTGGTAAAACCACACTTGCTGTTGAAGTTTATAATTCCATTGCTGACCATTTTGAAGGTTTATGCTTTCTTGAAAACGTCAGAGAAAATTCAAATAAACATGGTTTACAACATCTCCAGAGCATCCTTCTATCTGAAATGGTTGGAGAAAAGAATATCAACTTAGCAAGTGTTAGACAAGGAATTTCAATGATACAACATAGGTTACGGCAAAAGAAGGTTCTTTTGATTGTAGATGATGTTGATAAGCACGAGCAGTTACAGGCTATTGTTGGAGAACCTAATTGGTTTGGTCCCGGCAGCAGAGTCATCATCACTACTCGAGACAAACAACTGCTGGCATGTCACCAGGTTAAAACAAACTATGAAGTTGAAAAGTTGAATAAGAGCGATGCTCTACAACTGCTCAGTTGGAAAGCTTTTAAAACTGACAAAGTTGATACAAGTTATGTAAATGTCATGAATCGTGTAGTAACTTATGCTTCTGGCCTTCCATTGGCTTTGGAAGTAATAGGTTCCAACTTATTCGGAAAAACTGTAGGAGAATGGGAATCTGCTATAAATCAATATGAAAAAATTCCTAATAATCAAATCTTTAAGATACTTAAAAAAAGTTTTGATGCTTTAGAAGAACAAGAGAAGAGCGTTTTTCTTGACATTGCTTGTTGCTTCAAAGGATTTCGATTGAAAGAGGTCGAAGATATACTTTGTGCTCACTATGGGGATTGCATGAAATATCATATTAGGGTGTTGGTTGAAAAATCTCTCATAAAACAGAACTGGTATGGTGCAGTTACATTGCATGACTTGATAGAAGACATGGGTAAAGAAATTGTCCGACAGAAATCACCAAAAGAGCCAGGGAAGCGCAGTAGATTATGGTCTCCGGATGATATAATTCAAGTTTTGGAAGATGACTCGGTAAGACTCATGAATGGTTTGTTTCATTTATAATATTTAAATTTAACTAAATATATGTATTGAAAAGTCTAACATGTTTTTGCATTATGGTTAATTTGTGCCTTTTGTGTTTACAGGGTACTGGTAAAATTGAAATCATATGTTTGGATTTCTCCCTACTTGACAAAGAAGAAATAGTAGAATGGAATCGAAAGGCTTTCAAGAAGATGAAAAATCTCAAAACACTTATTATTAAAAATGGTCATTTTTCCAAAGGTCCCAAACATCTTCCGAATAGTTTAAGAGTACTGGAATGGTTGAAATATCCTTCAAAAGGGTTACCAACTGATTTTTGTTCAAAGAAACTCTCCATATGCAAGTTACCTAAAAGCTGTTTTGGGTCACTGGAGTTGGCTGACTTATCAAAGGCAAGTGAGAACAGTTCAGTTTCCAAACTTAGGATATTAATAAACTCCCTTTCACATTATTAATTTTTGTTTCCTTGTTTCTCCTTTTTCTTTGCTGCAGAAGTTCACGAATATGACTGTTTTGAATTTTGAGGAATGCCAAGGATTAACACAAATACCAGATGTATCTGGGCTGCCAAATTTAGAAAATATTTCATTCCGAAATAGTGACAATTTAGCTACAATCCATGACTCCATTGGGTTCCTTGGTAAGCTTAAAATTTTGAATGCTTTTGGTTGCAAGAAACTTAGGAGTTTTCCACCGCTCAAGTTGGAATCTCTTGAAAAACTTGAACTTTCATATTGTTCCAGTCTAGAGAGTTTCCCAGAAATATTAGGAAAAATGGAAAACATAACAGAACTTGTGTTGGAGGCTTCTGCCATAAAGAATTTTCCAGTTTCATTTCAAAATCTCACTGGGCTTCAAGAATTACTGTTGCGTCACTGTGGAGTGTTAACGTTACCAAGTAGCATTGTCATGATGCCAAAATTGGTTCAGATCATTGCTTGGGAATGGAAAGGGTGGCTATTCCCAAAACAGGTTGAGGGTGAAGAAAAAGTTCGTTCAATGATGTCTTCAAACGTAAATTGTCTTCGTCTCTCAGGCTGTAACCTGTCCGATGATTTTTTTTCAATAGGTCTTTCATGGTTTGCTAATGTAAAAGAATTAGACCTATCAAGAAATAATTTCAAAGTTCTTCCTGAATGCATCAGTGATTGTCAATTCCTACTGGAGCTTAACTTAGATTATTGTTATTGTCTTCAAGAAATTAGAGGGATTCCGCCAAGCATAGAACTTTTCTCTGCAAGAGAATGTAAATCCTTGACCTCTTCTGGTAGAAGCACATTAGTGAATCAGGTTTTGTCTTGTTCTCTTTATGTTATGCATTTGATTTGATAATTGATAGCGTACTCATGCCTCAATAAATTCTTAATAAGTACTTCTAAGAGAAGAAAAAAGAAAAGAAATGAAAATTTTCATAATTAAATTAAAATTAGATTATACAAAAGTTGAAAAAAGTGTTTGAAAAACGTTACGTACGGATGAACTTTTACAAATTAATTTATAAATAAATAAAATTTTAATTTATATAGAAATTTATTTTATTTATTTTCTTAATTTTCTTTTAAAATTATTTATGAAGAAGTTTATTCAACCATACCATTGATGTCGCTAAACTCATTAATTATTTGACTAGCAGAAGCTGCATGAGGTTGGAAACACCTTGTTTAGGTTTTCAGGAGCAAGGTTTCCAGAGTGGTTCGACCACCAAAGCCGGGGATCATCTAATTCTTTTTGGTTTCGCCACAAGTTCCCTGCCATTTGTCTTTGTATTGCTATTGGACCAACTCATTACGAATATTTTAAAATTGTTGGACCTACCTTGACCATCAATGGCATTGAATGTTTACCTGACGATGAGGATTTTGACTATTTTTGGATGGAGCCTGATCACACACATCTTTTCGATCTGCAAAAGATGCATCTCAGAGATAATCTAGACAAATATGTTGTAGAAAATGAATGGAACCATGTGGAGATTACTTACCATCCGACAATCGGGGAAAGACAGAAGGTTGTGGAGATCCCAGTCTTTACTGAAACTGGTATCTATGTGTACAAACAGAGGAGTAGCATGGTGGATATTCAATTTACTGATCCTTATAAAAGGAGAAGATTGGATGATGACTCAGGATCATAAAACCAACAGATTGTGGAAAGAGCATAGATTCATAGAGATGCAAATTCCTAGGACATTCTTTTCTTCTGGCTCAAGCAATATGCAGTCATTGGATAATAATATGAATTATGATTCAAGTAAACTGTATCGACATGGATAAAGGGCACCAGCACAATTAGTGTCAAAGGTAAATTCTCTTCTAGTTTGTTGTCACCATAACATTTTTTAGTGGCCCAATTTATTTTGTTAACAACATAAATGAAAGAAGAAAAAACTGGAGTTCCAGGACTAGAGTGCTCTATTGATATGCATGATTAAATTTTTGTCTTGAAGAACATACACAAGTGTTCAATTTGTTGTTTCAGTGGTTAAAAAAAGACAAATTTGCTCGTGTTAGAGAAATAAGTGCTAGTAGATTGTGAAATTATAAGAAAATCCAATTGTGAATTCGGATTTATGTAGTATCATGTGTATATAAGTTATCTTGAATTTGTAATTTAAATCAGCATATTCGTCGAAATAGTAATCTTAATAGGCTGAAATATAGTTTCAAGAAAGGGGAAGTGGGTATTTGTAATGTTGGATAATGTTGACAGTGATTTTTTTGTCAGGCATACAAACCTGTTAGGGGCTAATAGTTTTCATTCCCATTTCACGGGAAACCCTTTTTCCTCTACTTTTTAGCCCTGCCTCGTAGTGGGAAATTTTCAGGAAGTGTTTTTCGCAAAAAAGATTTAAGAATGATAAGCTTAAGTTATGATACACTAGGGATGAAGCTAAACAATCTTGTATCATTTTTTTATGAGTAAACTAACTATCAATGTAGTTCCCATTTCCCAAGACTAGAAAACATTGTCACATTAGTTTCTTATATATAAACTATTTCTAAATCTAAACCTTTTTTTAACAAAAATAATCACTTATGATACTAATTAGAGTGCAATATTATTGTTAACTAACAATGGCATTGAGATTTAAATTTATTAATGCAGGAACTCAGTCACAAAAGTAAGAAAATCCACTCTAGAAAAAACTATTGACAAAAGTCTGTTGAACCGATAGACAGAAAAATGACAAATAAAAGTCAGTCATCCACTGTGAAAGGAATGAACTCGGAAGCATACCAAAAATACAATTATTTAGAGAAGGAAAAGAATATCAAGAGAGACTTCTAAGAAAGAGAGGAAGCCACATTTGCCACCTATTATTGTTCCATAGCTATAAATATTAGACTTGTGTGAAATTCCACCATACCCTATATTTCCTCTTTGATTTTACATGGAAATAATGCTCTCAGTCCTAGGCTAAAGCTCTGCAAGCCCAAAATCCAATATCTTTGAACAAAAATTGGCATCCAAAAGAATGCTACATGATTTTATGTCAAAATGTAAAATTCGAATATTGATTCTCTTGTGCAAGTACTCTAGTTTTCGAACTATCCCTTTGGTTATTTGCCACAATTATCCCAACTCAACGGTACAATATTTTTGAATCCTTATTGTAGATAAATTTGTCAAGGGAACCATTAGCCATAAATTCATAGATGAGAGTTTTCTTGCGACCTTCTCGACAGAATAAAAAAGAAGTGACAATGTCACTAGTAGAAAATAAGCATATTACGTCACCCCTTTTACGTCGGAAATACGAAAATCCGACGTAAAAAAAATACGGTGGCATTTTTGTAATTTTTGCGAACTTTTTTATGGAAAGTCCAATCTTTTTTTTTTTTGAACAGCAAAAAAATTTATTAATCTGGTACAAGGGGTACCATAAACCCGTTTACAACAGGAGAAAACATGGAAAACATAAATTGAACACGTAATTTTATTTGGCATCTCCACCTTCATACCCTAGGACAAATGCAAAGACCAGGGTTGGTACACCATTGTGAGAATGTGAATCAAAAATTCTTCTTAAAAGTTGACAACCACGACCAAGAGGTAAAGAGAATGTCCTTGATAATTTTGTCTAGATCAAAGCCTCCATGTTCAAAGACACATAGATTTCTATGCCTCCACAGGGTCCACATAGTCGTGCTCCATATTATGTGCCAGGTTTCCACTTCTGACTTGGACAATAATGGACCCGGAATGAAGCCAAAATGTTGTTCTAATGACTGTGGTAGGGGAGAGGGGCAATTTAGCCAACTGAGCCATTGTGTCCATACCTTATGTACTAGAGGACATGTGCAGAAAAAGTCCAATCTACGTCGCACCTGGGAAGGTCTGACGTAAAAAGTCCAATTTACGTCGCACCCTACCAGGTCCGACGTAAAAAAGACGCAAATTTGAATAAGAGAGCGCGAGGCACACCGCGCGCATTCACTTTTCATCACTTTTTATTTTTTTCTCTGTAAACCCTCTCCCTCTTCTTTGTTACTGAATCGTTTTCTTGTTTTTTGCAGAGGGATGAACTCTTTGTTACTCATTTGCACATTGTTGCTACTTCTCAGGTATGAAACAAGGTTTCGTTAGCACTTTTCTACTTAGCATTGCTACTCTGGTTATCTATTTTATTCGATTTTTTGGTTATTTTATTTGTGTAGGTAGTGGACGTTTTTTTTTTGTTATTCTACGAAGCAGAATGGCTTGTTCTGCAAGCAGAACGGCCTGTTCTGCAAGCAGAATTCTTAAGTTTTTTTTTTGTTTTTTTACGACTTTTTTACGTCGAGTTTCGTAATTTTCGACGTAAATTTACGTCGGATTTGAAGTCCCGACGTAAAATTTACGTCTCCCGCTTCTACGTCGGTACGTTTTCTGACGTAAAAAGCCTAAAATATTCGACGTAGTACACCTCTTTTGTACTAGTGTGTTAACATGAGAACTTCGATCGATTCTAACTAGCTACCTCATTGTTAAAGTCTTTACCAATTTCTTTAGATGCATTCAATATGTTCAGAGCCACAAGGTAACACTAAGTAGCTCTCGCTATTTATATAGTTCATACATTTGTAACTAACCTTCTAACTAACTGTTACAATTTATTCTTACTAGTCTTCACCATCCAAATCATTTATAACAGCTGATACATGGCTCATTTGAAAAACATGGTTCTATGACATGTCCTACTCATGGAAACTAAGCTTTTAGAATTTAATAGGCAATTGTAATTTCCTTGAGATTATTGATTTGCTTCACACTGCAGTGGAATTTGCCATGTGGAGATCAATTCTAGGGACAGTACTACTCTGGCCAACTACCAGTAATCCGAATTGTTGAGGCTTCCCAATTGAGTGAAGCATTCTTCAATTTTGAGCCTGCTAGGAACAATAGATCAACCTCCTGATGTCTGAGATGGAACCCAGATCTGCAACCTTGAAGAAGTAGGATATGGAAGCTATTTGTTCAAGAATTATGGAGGATAATTTTGTCTTTTTAGTTTATTATCCATGGGACAAAAATTTGTTCCATGACTTAGTGAGTAATAATTTTTTATATATATTTTTTCTTTATCAATCCTTGTTTTGTCATATAACTATTTTAAAAATAAAAAAATATTTTTATATTGTGTTATCCTTCATTTTTTTTATCCATCTTTCCTATCTCATAATTTTTGAGTATTCAAAAATATTTTTAAATTATTAAATATTATTAATATTAATTTTTAAAATTATTCAATATTTAAAAATTAATTAATATTTATTTTTTTTTATAAAATTTAATCTTAAAATTTTGATATATATAATCAATTTTATTCCTGATAAAAATC